GATAATTTCTGATTTCTAAATTTATGTCATCTGCTTCTTAGACCTTTAAAAATGATAGTCATAGAAATAAGATTTTAATTCAACTTTATATATAAACTCTGTCTATTAAGGATATATGGAATACAATTTTTTGGGATATATATTTTAATAAAGACAAAAAGGGCCATTCATAAAGGATATATTCTAATAAAGACAAAAGGGGCCATTCATAAAGTGTAAATGTCTTTATGTTGAGTTTGCAGGCATTTTATGGAATAATCGCGTATATCTATATATCTATAAAATGAGAAAACTTGAAAATTTTATTTTAAATTTTAGAAGTCTTTTTTTCTATATTCTTTTTTTTTTGTTATGAATATATAAGCAAGATTGAAAATATTTCAAAATTTATAACGTTAGGAGGAGGTTTTAAACCTTCCAAAGCAACACAGATGACAGCGCATTTAATCACTGCGCTATCAATGGAATGCATTTAGCAGGAAAACAAACCTAATTATAAGCCTCTTATAAGCTCTTTGTATGCGGAAAAGGTGCGCATGTTAAGTTTTTCGCTTAAATTTTTTTTTCGAATAAATTCTTTTACTAAAAAATATTGAAGTAAATAAGGAATAGGTATAGAAATTTTCAGCTAGAAATAGACATATCTAGACCTGTATTTTACAGATCTGGAGAGCTAAGTTATATAAGGAAAAAGTATAGAAAAGTTCGGTTTGGAATAGATATACAAAGATCCATATTTTTATGGGGCCGATCTCAGCTAGTTTTAATTATTGCGCTCTAAATTTAACTAAGAAAATCTGGCTGAATAAAAATTTTTGTGTTGACTATATAGAAATCTTTACTAAATTTCACTAAAACGTTGTATACTAAAATGGCTTTTTTTTAGTAATAGATAGTAATTATGGTTAATTAATGCTTTGTTAGTTGTATCTATAAATATATAATTGGTGAAGTAGTTTTAAGTTATAAAAAAGACGATGATTTGGGTAAGTTAAATGATCTACACCTTCATGAAGCTGCTGAATCTATTCGCATTGCCAATAATCTATGGTCATACTTTTTATAACAATCTTCCAGTTTCTTTACAACCTCAGCTCAGAGTAACACACTGTATGTAATTGTAGTAACAGTAATTAAAGAGGAGTATGCTGGAAAACACCATACTTCTCTTGAATTTAAAAAAGAAAAGTTGCCTTCTGTTCTTGAAAAACTTAAAAAAAATCAAATTTATTCTTCAAATATTATTGCAAACTTCATATTTACTGCTAAAGAAATTTCCACTATCTACATTTTTTTATTTATTTCAATTAACCTTCCCAAACAGGGTGGCCACATAAAATTTTTAAAGAAAAAGAGGATTTTAGAGGAGATTTTGCATTTAATTTAGAGGTTTTTTTTTTACTTCAAAATTTTGAATAAAAATGGAGGATTTTTTTTTTATAGATTTAATGTTCATGTTTCCATGAACATTAAACCTATTAATTCCTGTCCAAAACCCCATAACTGGGGTTTGCAAAACTGGTTAACATCTGAAGTAAAAATTGGGTTGTAAAAAATAAATCTTTAATGAATGAAGATATAAATCTCCATTTATTTTTGTTTGTGGACAAGACTTTATGACATAAGGGATAGATTTTTTTAAACTCACAATCATAAAAACAAGGATACTTTTGAAAAAGTTACAATTTTTATCCAAACCAACATATTTACCGCCATTAAACTTACTACATTTCTGTAAATACATTTCATCCAACATTAAAATACAGTCTGGGTCTACTTTTCCTTCCTCAAAGAGTAACTTAATAGCTTTTAAGGGTTCAATTCCTCCAGCTGCTAGTTTTTTTAAAACTGACAATGACGGTAAAGGTATTTTTTGAATGTAATCGAATGTATGCTTGCTTTGAAGTATAGCGTTGCAATAATGAAAAACGAAGAACTTCAGATGAATATGGTTTCATGCCTTTCCGCTTATAATATTGGATACTATGAATTTCATCTAAAATAGTATTTTTTTTTTCTGCAACAAAAATACGCATATATGATGCAAGGTTTTCTAATATGCTAATATTTTTAAGTAAATATTGGTTTTGCTTAAACCACTTTGGAAGAGGAATTTGACATCCATTTTGATGCAACTTTACATGCAAAGTAGAATCAACCTGTATTGATTCAATACAGGGAGCATTATCAATAGATGCCACATTAAAAATACGATAATATAAAACAAGAGAGTCATATTTTTGAAAAATAAAGCCAACAGGACTTGAAGATGAATCTAACATTTCTAGGTCTTTGATAGAATTTTTTTCCATAAAAATATCTAATTCATCTTGAATGCTTGTGACGCATCTAGTTGGAGATTTTCTTGATGGACCTGGAATAGATAATAACAGAGAAGGTAGAATTTTTTTTATTGCATCATTTGAATAAATAGTTGGTATTGGATGAAGATCATAAATAAGAGTTATTCTAACACCGTGCTTTAGAAATTTGGATCAAAGTGTGCACTACAAACATCTGAATGTTCTGTAGAAACCCAATTTTTTCTATTAACAAACTTAACCTATTTTTATCTTAACTCAAGTTTTTTAAGAGCATCAGGAAACGCAAAAACACTATTTTCTTTGTTATAAACAGTTGTTTCTGAAGTCAATTTTAGAGTATTTACATTTGTATTTGATGATTTACTTTTGTATCCATTGCAACAATATATCACTGCACACTTGTTTGGCATTATATAAAGAATTCTAGGTATGAAAATAAAAGTATTTCTTATATTTTTGAAGCACAATAAAAATAATCATTTCTCAAAAGCAACAAGCTGTTATAAATGTGTCTAATTCAAATATTGTATTTATAGTGACTTAATTAAAATCTTATTTAAAACATCAAAATTAATAAGTTCCTCATAACTAAACTCATAATAAAATTCATATATAATCAAAAAATATTATATATAACAAGAAAAACAAAGCCTTCTGTTTAAAGATATCGTTTATTACAGCAAATAAAACTGGCCTCTTTATTTTTTCCGTAAAAACCAACAAACCCGGCTGTGTATTTATAGTAGGCCATGGTTAGACTTATGGGGATTTTGTTAAACTTATCAAAAGAATAAACTGTTTAAATGAATGGAAGTACACAAAAATTCCATATTTTGAGAAATATACATTACCTCTTCAAACATAATCAGTACTAAAAAGAACTTAATTATGTCAAACTTCATTAATTGAAGATTTGTTGGAAGATAAGTACAGATTTATATTGGTTGCTCATTTTCAAAGTGATCTGTTAAAAAAAAGATTTGAGTGGTAGCAGCTTTTTTGTCAGCCTGAAAAAAGTTTTTTATAGTGAGAGGATAATCCTAACAAGAGTTTAATAAAATAAAAAAAAGTACTTTTGTTTTTGAAATGATATTAATGCTGTTGAAGATGAACATGTTAAATGGAGCAGATCAAAAAAAGAGATATCGATTATGCCACTTTATCAGATAATTCTCCTGAAGTTATGAGGTTTTAATTTTCGAAAATTGATTAAGAAGTTTGAAATATGTTATGTGTTGCTTTGTACTCAACATTGTCAACAGAATTCAAGTGATAACAACTATTTAAACAAACTGTCCATATATTGGCTTACAAATCCATCATTAACACTTTTAGAACATATCTGTAACAATTTTTATCACATATTTAATGTTATTTATCAGCCTCAAATGCAACACTGTAAATCAGCAAAGTTAGTTCGTGGCAGTGGAGAAGGTTTTTATTTTTAATCCAACCATTTTTATCTTTAAACCATTGAAATTGTGGAAAAGAAAATATACACACTGTTATTTCAAACATTTATTATAATAATACCAGAAGGAAAGTATTTAATAATAATATTAATAATATTTTAATAACAGTTTAACAATATATTAAATATTTATTATAATAATACTAGAAAGAAAACAAACTATACCCGCTGTTATTTTAAGTATTTATTTTAATAATGGAAGGAAATTCAGTTTTTCCAGTGTTGCAGATAACACTGTTGCATTTGAAAAATTGAAAATGAAAATGTTTTGTTTCAAATTTTTAAAAGGTTTGTGTTGGATTTTTTTTTTATACTTCTAAAACTTATTTTTTTAAATTTGTGTATATTTATTTCTTGTACAGTCCATGAAAGTACCAAAAAGTTCTACTGACAAATCTTTCTCAAACCATCATCTTTTGGATACTACTTATAATTAGAGGTAAAAGCAACACTTCATTTATTAAACATAATTACTAATTATTATTAAAAAGAAGCCACAACTAAATACACAATTTTTAGTGAAGTTTAGTAGAGATTTCGATTTAGCCAACACAAATATATTTATTTAATGCCAGATTAAATTATTTTAAATTTATTCTGCAATAATTAAAATATTTTGAGAATGTTTGTCTATCCAACAATACATGTTTTTTTAACAGACCAATTTTTTTTTTAATTTAAACTGAATAGAAAGTTTTGGCCATGATACTCTCAGATAAACATTACTATACTTTTATGCTCATTGCATAAGTACAATGTAATAATTGAATATTTTTCATTGTTGTTCTATAATATTTGCAGTTTATAAAACAATTAGAAAAACTATTTGAATCAACTTTTTTGTCGCAAAAACCATTTTCCTTTGAAGCATTATTTGTTTTTATATCTTCCAGGAGATGTTTTTAAAAGTGATTTAATATTTTAAGTTTCAGATGTTTTCAGAATTAGTGAAATTACTAAGTATAGTTTTGATTTATTAGTAGAAATACCAGTGTTTGTAAGTTTTAGCTACTATGTTTGTAAAACCTTTGAAACAATTTTATTTTATTTGAAACAAATGTTTAATTAAGCAATTTTTTTTTTTTACAAAATGTTAATTCTGTTTTTTTATTTCTTTACCTGTTTTTTAAAATACCTCAAAATCTAATAGCTAATAACTTATTAATAACACAATTTGTTGTTATCTTAGTAACATAAAAAAATACCTGCTTTCTAAAAGCAGCTTCTTGAATATCTCGTGGAGAATAATCGCGTTTAAAGTCAAGACCACATTCACCTACAGCAACACATTCAGTCAACTTAATCATTTCTTCTAATATATCTGCTGATTTATCATTCCAATCATCTTTTACAAAATGAGGATGAATACCAACAGCTGCATACAAAATATTTGGTCTTGTTTTTGCCATAACGACAGCAGATTTATTACCATTCATTTTAAGTCCAGTTATAACCATTTTTTGAACACCTGCAGCTAAAGCACGAGCAACAATAAAATCCATATTTTGGTGAAACCTATTGTTATATAAATTGATAATAAATTTTGGTGAAACCAGTTGTCATATAAATTATTATTAAATTAGGTACTTGCCTAATACTTGGCATTATCATTAATTAGATAATTAATAGTAATCTTGTTTCATCTACAGATTAAAAACTTTTAACTTATTAGTATTTTTTCAAAAAGATAAAAAATTTAAATGATCTGTTAAACACTAATTTGGTATCAAAAATTGGTAAAATTAAAACCAAGTTGGCTTTATAACTGGAACCTTAAAAACAAAACAAAAAACTTCAAAACTAGTGTCAAATCCCTAATGCAATGCTAATATTTATTATAATTTCACAAAGAACTTTTTATATTTTTATATTTTAGACAAACTTAATAATAAAAAATTTATACACTTTTAAAAACAAAGTTGAAATTATTAAGTTAAAAACTAAATTTTTTTGATGATTGGAAAAAAAAATAGTTTTGAAACCATAACAATATTTTGAAACCATAACAATATTTAATTTACAGTATAAAAAGTGTAAAAAATATTACTGAAAATAGCAAAAATACAGATTGATAAAAATGAATATTTTTGATTGGCAGAACAAACACAGTTTGAGATATGTTTAAATTAATTTAAATAGTTTGAGATGAATATTTTCATTTAATTAAAAAAATAAGTCAGAAAAAAAATTTTTAATTAGTTAAATAAATGTTAATGAATATCTATGATTGATTTGAATTTTTTTTTTTAATAAATTTGAAAAAAAAACTAAAAATGCTAACATTTCTAGTTTTTATTTCAAATTCATTTAAAAGTCAAAACGATGTGAGTTTTAGTTTTTTTTCAAATGTTTTTGTTTTAAGTGTTAAATTTGATTGAATAGAAAGTATAAAATAATTATAATCATAAAATAGAGGCATTTGTTGCATCAACCAAAACTCAATCTTGGATCAATCGTGGGATTTGTATTTGTTAAAGTCACATCCTCAAACATCAATCGCTTGGAATTCTTTAACTCTTTTTGCTTTCTGTTAACTCTTAATTAACTTTCCTGTTAACTTAATTAGTTCTTGTTTGCAGCTTTGTTGGGAGTTTAATTTGTATAAAACAAACAAAAAAAAGCATGCCAAATTTTATGCTTTAACATAAACAGAAATTCAAAAAACTATTTTGCGGCAAAATATAAGCCATTTTTTTAACCAAAAGATTCAGAAAACCCTATAGAACAATATAGAAAAAAATAAAAAGAAAACTTTTTGTGTCAAAATGCCTCCTTTAGCTAGAGCAGAGCACCTTTCTAAAATGCAAATTTTAATAGAATTTGTTTATTTTCTAAAATCATAAAATATAATGGTCATAATTTAATAAAAACAATTTTTCATTTAAGTTTAATTTTAATTTATTTAAGTTTTTTTTTTAATTTTTTTTAATTTTTCATTTATAAGATTCATTTTCAATACAAAAACAAAACAAAAATTAGCCAAATCAGATTTGAAAATACAGATTATCTGTATATAAAAAATGTTTATATAATGATCAATTTGAACTCAAGACTTTAAGCTTACAAGCACGATATACACTGCACCACAAAACTGACTGTTACTGATTGTTGTAAAAAAAAAGGAACTATTTTTAAAATATAAAGCTAAATATGACTGATGCACACTGCAATGAAAAAACCTTACCATAAATCTTAGTTTATTATAATTTTTTTTAATTTCAGAGCATATTTTAACTGTAATAAATTCACAAAAACTTTTTTAATCCAAAACAGAAACAAACAAAAAATAAAGAAGGGAAAAATTATCACAGCATAAGAGTACTAGGGCTTCCAGTTAGAATAATTTTTTAAAAATTCGAACCTGAACAGGTTTGAACTATTACGAAAAAAAGTTCGAACTATTTCAAACTTTATTTGAATTATGTTAAAACACACAAAAATAATACAAAGACTAGAAAAAGCTCTCTCAGCTTCTACGGATATAAGAGGAATTGTTTGAAGAGCTTTGAAAAGTAAACCTAAATACTTGGGCCTAGCTTTGCTAGCTTCAAAAACAGACATTTCTTTTTGAACAAGGTTTGTTCTGATTTCAATATTTACTTTTCATCATCACAGCTATCGTCAGATGGCTGAAATAATCACTGAATGAGATTAGTAGCAAGATTAGTAACCTTTTTTTTTTATTCTTGTTGCTAAATTGGTCTTCTTTATTTAAGACATTCTGATTTGACAAGTACTTTATGAGATAAATTAAATGAATATTTCTTCTTTTAATTATTCTATATTCAGATATCTGGATAACAAGTTGACTTATAGGTTCATGGAGTTTTTTCTTGTAAATTCAATCACAATTTTAGAATACAAAAGATCAACTTCTCCTTTTGAAAAAGTATTAATGGCCACTTTTAGTGGTTTTAAAGGAACACAAAGTTCATGACATCAAACTCATTTTTAGTTAGAGGAATCAATATTCATACCAATCAGAACTATTTTTATTTCTGTTTGCACCTCCAAAAATTGATCAAGCATATTAAGAGTATTGCTACATTTTGTCCTTGAATCACAAATCAAAGTTTTTTCTTTTCCAAACTTTTCAATTACATTTGGTTGAAGTTCATTATCATTGCTCACTGGTGATCTACAAAACTTTTCTTTTTTTTTTTTTGATTTTCTTATTTTTGCCTCAGTTTTTTGATATACAATTTTCAATAATGGAATAGAATCTTCACTAACTGCATGAACAGTTTGAATATCATCACCAACTTCAGTCCCATCTTCATCATCACTGTAACTATGATCATAATCTACAGCTTCTATATCACCATTAACAGATTTATTATCAGAACCATGTACATAAACTTGTTTATGTACATGGTTCTGATAATAAATCTGTTATAACTTGTTTCTTGACTAACCTGAAGTATTTAATGTCAAGATTGCCAATGGTTTGAGGGATTTGGTATCCCTGAGCATAAAATGCTGATCATTTTCACTTTTAGCAATAGTTTGAAAGCTGATTCCATTAATACCTGATAGTCGACTAAAAATTTCAGGTAGAGTTTTATGGCCATCCTTGAAAAAACTTTCAGTTTGCAGTTTATTTGCAGCAGGAATCTTTGCTGCTGCCTCTGGCACAGAGTTATTGCTTTTAAAAATTTCAATTTTGTGTTTTGTGTTTATATGCTTTGTAATAGCTATTGTTGTTGAACCAGGTATTTTGAGAATAATTTTACAGATTTTACACTTTGAACTCTGTTCATTGTATTCTTCAAGAAATTCAAAATAGCCCCATGTCTCATATCTTTTAGTTGTGCTTACATCTTTAAACATATCTATATTTTTTACTTCACACAACTAAAACTTTTATTAGCTCATCAAAGCTATATTAACTCTTTTTTTTTTTTTTTTTTTTTTTTTTAATTTAGAAATTTTAAACTTGAACCTTTTAAATCTTTTAAAAAATGGCAAAAGTTTGAACATTCAAATTTGAATAAATTGGAACTAGAAGCCCTAAAGAGTACATCTATCTAAATAATATCTTGGCTTAATTATACCAAAAAAATATAGGATGGCTTACTATATAATAGACCCTGCCAATGCACAACTGTGTAAAAAACTAGAGACATGTTTTAAAACATAACATTGTAGTAATTTACATCTTCAATTAGGTAATTTGTCTGAATTAATATTAATAATTTGTCTGAATATTTTTATCTCTTAAAAAGTCAAAATAAATTTAATGAGACACATTTAAATATTATATTTTTAAAACTTGAGTCAAATTTAAAATTCAACTTAAGTATAGTAGCACTTTTAAAGATCATTGTTTTTCTGTTTTAATGGCTTGAGAGATAAAACAATCATCCCTTCATTTTAATGCAAGTCTAGATGACTATTAAATCCTGGTTATGTTTCATTGCAAATTATTTTTAGACAAATAAGGTCTTCCATTTAATATGTATGGAGATAAGGGGGAGTTATCAAAAACATATAAATGCGTACAAGGGGTGGGGGATGGGTGTTAAAGACAGGGAGTATTACTTGCTTTGATCTCTCATACTCTTTATCTCTCATAAAACTCAATTCTTTTTTTTTAATATTGAGTTTGTTTTTTGTTTTTTAAAAAATATCTTCACTTTCAACAAGGCTCCAAGCACTATTAGAGTTGGAAGTTACTGGAAGAGAAAGGTTATAAAGAAAGATAGCAATTAACAGACAACTTAAAAGATTGCAAATTTTATGAATCAGGAAATCAAGTTAAAGGGAGCAAATTCTAAGGAGCTGATGTTAGAGGAAAAAGAGATTTATAGAGGTTGAAAATGGAATCAGGACAACGACAAGATAAATAAAGACCAATGGATTGTATATAAGGCTTCTTCGGATTGTATATAAGGCTTCTTCAGAAGCCAATCTTTAGTTATGCAAAGAAAAAATCTAGGAATACAGTAATCATCTGGGTCATATATTAAAAATCTAGAAAATACTGACAAAAAATATCGAGGAAGTCTGTAAAAAAAAAAAATTTTATAAACTTTACTTAACATAACATTTTGCTTAATTTTAATTTCATTTTACTTAATTTTGCTTAATTTTAAATTTAGCTGTAGCTTACTCATTTTTTATAAATTTTGTGCAATGACTGAAAATTATTGAGCCATTGCTGAAAAAGTTAAAAAAAAAACTTTGAACGAATCCATAGGAGGAGGAAGGGAGGGGGGTGAGGAGGAGAGGAGGATCCAACCAAATTTAAACGTTACACATAAACGTTGTATTGACGTTTTTTTTTTATTGATGTTTTGTTTTTTTATTGGGTTTTTTTATGTTGTACGCATTAAGGAGCATGCAGCAGATATTTTTTTTTTAATGTTGTTTTTTGAACTACCCTTATATATTATTTTAGTTTAAATTAAATATATATATATATATATATATATATATATATATATATATATATATATATATATATATATATATATATATATATATATATATATATATATTATAAAAATATATAATTTAAGTTGTATTTACAGAAAAACTTTTATACTTGCACTTTTCATTAAAGTCTGAAAGCTGACTATATAATTATATTAATAATATAATTAATTTTTTTAACATCAATTATATAAATAATTGATAATAGAAAAACTAATTCATTAGTTTTTAAACTATTTTATAAAAAATGTATATTTTCTATCTTGTCTTGGGAATTAATCTATTATAAGTAGTATAATCTTTTGGCTAATGTCTTTCACAAACTTTGGCATTTTTAGTATTGAAAATTCGTTGGTATTATAGTATTATTTATTATATTGGCATTATTGGTGTTTTATCATTTATTAGTATTATTTTTGTTTTATTATTTATTGGTATTATTGTTGTTTTATCATTTATTAGTATTGTGTTTTATCATTTATTGGTATTATTGGTGTTTTATCAATTATTAGTATTACTGGTGCTTCATCATTTATTGGTATTATTGGTGCTTTATCATTTATTGGTATTATTGGTGTTATATCAATTATTGGTGCTTTATTATTTATTAGAATTATTGGTGCTTTATCAATTATTGGTATTATAGCAATCCAACGCCTTTATATACTAATGATTCTTGCAATTCAAAATGTGTTAAATGTAAGGGTTATAATTACCATTACAATTTGTTACACAACATCGACAAATCATTAGCAAAATAACCTTTATGCTTATTCTTTTATCTCTTAACTAACTCATATTTTGGCAGGTGTTTTTTTGATTATAGATTTTGCTTAAAATTTAAATTTACGTATGTCGACAAATTTAACATGTTTCCATTTTTTTTTCACTTAAGTTGTGTGTTGGCAAGGCTTGTTATATAGCAAACAATAGAATAAACACATATTTTGATATAGAATAAACACATATTTTGATTTATTCAAATCAAAATATAAGAGCCTATGTCTAGTTTTAAAGTCAGTTTTAAAACCTTAAGTTGAGAAAATGAAACTACAGTAAACGTCTGATAACTGGCATTTCTTAGAGACAAATAAATAGTTATTGAGTTATTGAGAATTTGAGCTATTGGAAGTTTGCTATATTAATAACTATGCAAATTATAAGTTTGAATCAGGAAATTATAGAAATTTTTTGAATAATTTAGATTTTTGGATTCCCCACTCAAAAATGAAAAGACAACAGTTTTTATAAACTTTTAAAAATATTTTTAAATATATCAAGCTTTTTCTAACATAGTTTAATATAACAGAAAAAATGTTTCTAAAAATGACAAAATCAATACAATTTTTAATAAAAATAACTTCTCAACCACTAACAATTAAAAACTCAAAATTTCAGCATTTGATTATCCTAATATAAAAAATACCTACAAAAACTAGACTTTTATTCGGTTACAATTCCTTATCATGTCATTGAGACGTAATACAGAACTGCGTATTAGTACTAATGTAATACTGCATTTTAAGATTTTAATTTTGAATTATTTTAAAATGTTTTAACATTTATACTGTTTTTAGTCCTCCACTAATCCTCAATTTTAAGCCGCTCACTGACTACCTATTATTTAGCCCCCCATTAATCCCCTATTTTTTAGGTCTTCAATAATCACCTTAATTTTAGCCTCTTGTTTTTTTTTTACATAAAAACTGTCTTATTTTAAATAAATTTTAAGAATTGCTTTAATAACTTGTTATAAAAATAGATTAAAATAAAGATAAACATTTTTATTAAAATAAATAAAACATAAAGACAAAAAGATTTGATTGAAATAAAATAAAATTTTATTTAATAAAACAAATTTTATTTAATAAGACAAATAAAAGAGACTTATAAGCAATTATTATAATCAATCCATAATTAAATAATTTATAAATTTTGATCTAACTGTGTTTAAAAGCACTACTTAATTAAAATGAAAAACAGGTAAAACATTAAACTAAAATAAAAAACAGGTAAAACATTAATTAAGGTAAAGATGAAAACCTTATAAATATATAATCATATACCAAATTTAATTGGATTTGTTTAACTACGAAAAATAAAAATAAAATGCCTGAAAATAAATCAAATGTAATATACAAACAAAATATACAAACAATAATATACAAACAAACCAATATAAAACTTTTACAGGGGGAAGTGAATTTTAGATTCAACAAACTAGATATCAAATTATTTGATATCTAGTTATCTAGTTTGATTATTAGTTCATGGTGAAACATAAATAACTTTTGACACACTTTTTTCAAGTCACATACAAACAAATTTAATATTCAAAATAATTACTTTTTGCTAATTAAAACTTACTTGGGGTTCGTTAAATTCACACCACCATCAACAAGATGAAAAATTTGATCTGGTTCTAAAGTTGGGAGATTAAATTTACTTTTTGGACGTGGGCCCCATTTTCTATTATTTCCCCTGCGAAAGTTTCCAGTTCCTCTTTTAGCAGTATTAGTATTGCCCCTAAAAGTCTTTTTCTCTTTTTTCTCTTTATTTTCTTTATCGTCATCTGATTTTGTTTTTGCTTCTTCTATAACTAGTTGACGACCGTAAAACTCAATTCCATTAAGATTCATAAGCTCACTATGAACATGTTCTGGGACATTAACAAAAGCAAAGTTTTTAGACTTGCCAGTTTTCTCGCAAGTTGCAAGATCTACACTGCAGCTTTGGCGTAGATAAGGTGTGGCTCCAAGACCAAACAACTGTGTTAAATCCTCTGTTGTGACATTTGTACCCAAATTTCCTAAATTATAATTAGTAAAAATAGTTCTGACAATAGAAATAAAGTAAAAATAGTTCTAATAATTTGAAATAAATATTGAAATAGATTTGAACAGCCTGTAGTGGTGTAATTTAGTACTGTTCTTACTTGGATACCATTGAATACCTTGAAAACTGGCTTATTTTATTTGCTTGAAATATTATGCAATTAAATATTAAGTCACCTATCCAAGTCAATCATTGACTAACTTTTTTGTTTCTACTAAATCTTCTATAAATTTATCATGCTACAACAAAATAATATTTGCCCTATTTAACTTTTAAAGTTCACTTTCATTTTTAGTGAAATAATGAAAGAAAAGAATAAAGAATTATTTGCTATAATACATCATACTTTGAATGATTCATCAATGTTATACTTAGATGATTAATAAAAAGTAAAATACACTTTTTTGTTTAATGGTTCCACATTTGTGATTTAGACAAGCTTCTATAATGTTTCTTATTTAAACATGACATTATGGGAGAAATAAAACAAATTTTCACAACCGAATACCCAGGAGTTAACCTGCTTTACATATCACCTGTTTTAATATAGGATCAGGATTAATTGATAGGATCAAATATAAATTAGTAGAAAATCACAGATCAAACTTTTTTCATTTTACACTGTGTTTCATAAATTAAGACTCATCATTAATTTCTGACAAGTCTTAATTGACAGTGAGGTGTTGACCCCAGAGGCTATACAAGAATTCCATGTGGGCCTTAAGACTTTTATCTTAGAAGGATTTTTTGAAAAAAAAAAAATTACACTATATTTTTTAAATGATTAACAAATATATTTTTATTCCCTTTATTATTGCTTTAACAAATAAAGTTCTAATTATCTGAGTTAAAGTATAAAACTTTTAGCGCTAGTATATTTGTATTTTCCATAATAAAATGTAAACTTCTAACATTGGTCTAAAAAATAGTTGCAAAAAAGGTTTATTTTTACGTCAAATAAATTGCTTTGATTATTTACCATGTAGCCATGGATTTAAAACAATGCTTTTAGTTGATATTTTAATTTTGATATCTGACTTTTTTAATGCCGTCAAAATATTTTCAAATTAATAAAAAGTGCTTAAAAAAAAAAAAAATTCATAAAAAAAAACTATTTTTTTACTATTAAAATTATCTGTGGAAACGACAATTAAATATCTACTTTTAATTGAATATTAAAAAACAAATAGCCTATTTGTTTAAAGAAAGATTTCCTTCTCCTAACAAAAAATTGCTGTTAGATTAAATAAAGAATTCTTAATCAAAAATCCAAGTTATCATGTAAAAAATTAATTTAAAAAGGTGATTTCAAAGCTTAAAAATTACTTTACACAGCAATATATATATATATATATATATATATATATATATATATATATATATATATATATATATATATATATATATATATATATATAGGGTGACCATTGTCTTGGTTTTCATGTAAGAGAGCGCAGCGCTAAACTAATTAAAATTAGTTTAATACTGCGCTTTCCTATATAAAAACTGGGACAATAATCACCCTATATACACAACCATCCATAATTATTTAAATGGCCGTACTTTTTGATATAAGAAATCAAAGTTTTAGTCACTATTGGAAGAATTTAAAAAAATCTACCTGAATTATATGTTATCATCCTATTTATTAGGTTTATAAACAAATTTTTGGTAGCCATCAAATTTTTTTAGTGAAAGCGCTTTTGCAACTACGCTACCAAATGGAATGCCTGCATACAGCGGAGTTGCGGACCAAGTCGCGCTACCGCCCAGCTTTAAGGTTTGTGTATATATATATATATATATATATATATATATATATATATGTATATATATATATGTATATATATATATATATATATATATATATATATATATATATATATATATATATATATATATATATATATATACACAAACACACACACATTACTATATTATTAAATGAAAATATACTTAAAAAATAGTTTATACGTTGCCTTTTTTTAAATCAAATTCAACTTTAAAACATTCTGGAATTCAAAACATACTAATAAAGAACTATAATTTTTATTTTAGCTTTAAGTATTTGTTGTTTAGCAGTTTATTTTATAATAACAAATGCTAGAAATTTTTAAATTGTGATTGGACATCCTAATATAATCATCAACATTATTTTAGCGCTTCTGCGCTAGTTAAATGTTTCCTTCATTTAAATCTTCATCAATGCCAACCTTGCTATGAATAATAAAATTAATTTTCTGAACTTGGCCCAGGCACACTTTACTTTTGCTCTTGATGCCTATACTGATTCATCAGTTGATCTAATTGTACCTCAGAGATAACAAAAATTTTTAACGCATTCCATTTTTTCTTAATTATTCATACATATGCATATAATATAAAATATACAATAAAATATAAAAGCACACTTAGATAGATAGTCTGATGGCATAATGACTTAGGACGATATGAGGACTTCAGTGCATACATCTACTGATATAGGGAAAACATGCAAGGGAGTTGCTGCTACATCAGCTGAGAGTTAAAAATGGGATAGAAAGAAGCAAATATATATATAAAAATAATTCCCTTTTTTTGACTTCTTAATATTCAAATTACACATTTTACTCAAAACAAAAAGAACTATAAGTGTTTACTACTATATCTTGTGTAAATTTATTACTTGTTCCAACCTTTTGCCAACACACACATTTTATTTTTTCATTCTTGACTTTACTATACTTAACTTTGGTCTTATCCATGTTAACATGCACACAAAGTATCTATGCAACCATTTCACAAATGTTGTTTTTTTGTCAGAGAATTGGCTTTCAATTTATTAAAAAAAAATCATTGTGAGTCAATAGTGATGGTTATTTAGATATGAATATGATTGACACTATATGCATAACTATATGCGTGTGTGTATATATGTATATATATAAATATATATATATATATATATATATATATATATATATATATATATATATATATATATATATATATATATATATATATATATGCAACTACACATGATACAGATTAATAAATGATATAGATCTAAAAGGCTTACAGGTTATTTACATTTAAATCTAAAATTAACCAAATATGCATCTATTTTTATTTTTGTTAGGAAAATAAAAATACTCTACATATTACACTTTTACAAGGGCATTACACCCTAGAATTAACTTAGTTAATGTTTCAGATATACAGCAAAACAGAAATGCAATACAATTAGCCAAATAATGGTGCAAGTCCACAACTTTTGTTATAAGATAAAACTACTGTTTAAACTTTATATTTATTTATCTCATAACTACATGAAAACATGGGGTTATGAGTAAAGGGTGGTATTATTAACCCTATAAACACCATATTATATACAAAATTACAATTTATATAAAATATGTAAATATTTGACTTTATTATAGTATGTTAATCTATAGCTGCTGGTGTAATACAGGCGTGTATTTAGGCATAAGTCAGGAATGGCAACTCGATGGCGGATTGTGTTTATAACCTATTTTCCCAAAGCATTAATTGAAAACTAAATAAGCCTTCCTAACTAAGGATTCCATTAAGAAACACATCTCACAAACGCTTACCAACATATATACGCTTTTTTGCAGCTTCAGCTACGCCAGGATTAGACATTTTAAATTTTGTGCCCTTTTTGAAATGCAGATGGCAAGAGAAGAGGAGACCGTGGCCTAACGTATAATAAATCACACGTGCATCTCGTGAATTTGATAGGTTCGAAACAGCATTCTGCGTTAAAGAGAAGATATATTCGACGAAAACATAAAACATTTAAGTTTAGGTTTTATTATTTTGTTTTTGGTTTTATTATTTTGACTATATCAGTATCAAAATGAAAAGCTCTATGTAAGGGTTGCAAAAAAAAAAAAAACAATGAAAGAAGGTGTTTTGAGAAAAATTGTTCTTCATCTTTCTTTATACCGTTAAAAATAGGAAAAAAATTTCTCAATTTTTAGTGATAGTTGAAACTCCGATCATAAATAAACCATTTATGTATGTGCAATCATTTATATGTGTGTAATCAAATAAACATAAAATGTATATGTACACACACACACACACACACACACACACACACAAACACACACACACACACACACACACACACACACATACACACACATATAAATATAAACTAATTATGTATTCATCGACAGATTTCAAATTATATGTTTAAATTATTGAGTGTTCAGTTTTTATGACCATGTAAAGAATAACCTCCCTCCCCCCCCCCCTCAATTTGAGGGGGCCACAAACTTTACATGGTCATAAAAACTGAACACTGTATAATTTAATCTGTCGATGAATACATAACTAGTTTATATTTATGAAAAAATAAATAATTCAACTCATTATCCTCACGTTTAGAGTAAGGGGGCTAAGATTTTAGGGTTTCTTGTTACCATTCTCAGGGCCGGCGCGAATAGGTGTCACGTGGGGTGTGCTATTATAACTTTAACCGACTTGAAAAAAAAAAAAGGCCCTCGTTTTCAAAAATTTGCCGACTGCCATGACGACATTTGCCGACTAATGTCTAAACCACCGACTAACCTATATCAAAAGGGTCGACAATGCCGACTTACTAGTCAAAAAGGGTCGAATTTGCCGACTAAGGGTCATATTTGCCGACTAACAATCATTTATGGGGGGGGGGGGGGATTATACCCCCACACACACCCCCTTTCGCGCCGGCCTTGACCATTCTCTTATCACAGTAATTTTTTTTTGTAAAGAATACATATGAACGTAAAAAAATTTAAAATATTTTTTTGTTTAAAAGTTGGTTATTTCAAACTTTTATTATTATTATCTCAAGAAACAACAAACAATATCTAGATAAATTTTACAGTGTTAACCAGAAGTTAAATTTTTTTAAAGATTTTTAAAAGAATTGTTCAAGAAGTTTGAAAATTGTTTTTAAAGTTTAAAAGTATGCGGGCCTGTCCGGGAGTCGAACCCGGGACCTCACGCACCCGAAGCGCGAATCATACCACTAGACCAACAGGCCAGATAACTACCAAGAAGTTACAAAGATTATAAAACAAATATAATAACAGCAAAGAAATTCTTAAAATCTAAAATACATAAATCTCTTAGGTTTAAGTTACTAAAAGTTTATGGTGCTTAAACTTTAAAATCACAAATAAATAATAAAATTAAAATAAATGATAAGTTTATCCATATAAAAGATAGTTAAGATCAAGAAAAAATTTCAAACAAAATTCATACAAAATTCCAACTACTGATAACTCATTTATAGACTTTTTATCCACTAGGCACGATCTAAATGATGTTAAAAAAAGACGATTTCATACAAGAAATTTTGCATCTTAATTGTTTGAAGGAGTCTTCGTTTTTTATTCCTAGAAATTCATTGAGCCTTCTTAACCAAATACATTCAAAGAGTCTGCAGCCTATTTTTCCATATGTATGCCTCTTATTTCAAATTTTTAATACAATGCCAGTATCTGTTGCAGAGGGTGAACGATCATTTAGTAAACTAAAATTGATAAAGAATTATTGTCGGGCCACTATGGGACAAGAACGTCTTTCGGATTTCATGATTTTTTCAGAGAAAAATGAGTTGGCTAAGACTCTTTCATATGATGATACAATAATAAATTTTGCCGGTAAAAAAGCAAGAAAATAGTGTTTTATGTAGGCCGTTTTTTGTCTAACCACAAAACCTTAAAGCGGCGCGTACTCAACGCTATGTCCCGGGCACCACAAATGCTCTCGGCGGCCCTAGACAAAACAGATGTGTGCATCTACCGCCCCATTTCTATTCTCCCAGCTTTTTCAAAAATCTTAGAATAAATAATTTATAATAGAACATAAAAATATCTTAATGATAATAAACTGTTAATTAATAATCAGTTTGGTTTTAAAAAATGGATTTTAACGGAACACGCAATTATTCAATTTGTCCGGCAAATCTCCGAGTCTTTTGATAGAAAGTAATACACATTAGGTGTATTTATTGATCTATCAAAAGCATTTGATGCCGTCGATCATGAAATTTTACTGCAAAAGCTCAAATATTATGGGATAAATAACATTCTTTTAAATTGATGTAAAAGCTATTTAACAAATAGAAAACAATATGTCCCCGTCAATAACAGACGCCAAAACGAAATGACTCAAATAACTTGCGGTGTTCTTCAAGGCTCGATTCTTGGACCTCTTCTTTTTTTAATTTATGTAAATGATATAAATAAAGTATCAAACTTAAAAAACACCATGTTTGGTGATGATACAAATTTATTTGCATCAAACCTTAGCATTACGAAACTGTTCTACGAAATGAATAAAAAACTAAGCTTATCTCTAACTGGTTTAAATGTAATAAATTAACTTTAAATGTAATAAATTAACTTTATATGTAATAAATTAACTTTAAAATAGACAAAAAAAGTTCTTAATGTATATCAACTCAACATTTTTACAATTTTGTGTTTTTGTTTTAGTGTAAAGTTTCGATGTAAATATGACTCAGCACTATCTATTTTTAAAGATTTTTTTATCAAAAAAATAAACAAATATATTTTGCGAAATGATAATTTTTTAAATGAACCACTTTGTCGTACAGAGTTTAATCAATTTTGTATTGGATATCGTGCACCTTATCTTTGGAACAAAATTGTTTTGAATAATTTTGATTTATCAACTTCATTTGAACTTTTTAAAAATAAACTAAAAAAAATTATTTTATCTATAAACGATATAATGAATTACTTCTAATATGCAATAACGGACTGTATAATATTAAATTTTTTATTTCTATTTGCTATTGTTGTTGCTTTTACGCTTTTAAAAGGTTCTGACGACAAGATCAATGAGATCTTCTATCAGAAACCTTGTTTATATTTGTAAAGCTTTTATTTATAAATTTATTTATATAATTGTATTACGATTTATATAATTGTAAACTGTAACACGATATAAACAAAAAAAAAAAAAAAAAAAAAAGATAACCTGTGAAAAGTATAAATAGCTGCAGAGCCGTGGCTAGGTTACCCCAAACATAAGAGGGAAGAGGGGCTCCAACCCACTAGTCTAAGATAATTTAACTTTAAATGATATTTATAAATTATCGGAATGTTTAAATAACTTTTACCAGTTTTAAACATGTCCACTGCGTGGTCCAATGTACTCAAAAAAAGAGAATAAATTTTTGATTATGAAGAGTAGATGTAAAAGACCACTTTGCTCCCTAAAATTTTTTTGTAACTCCCATCATTTTGATACCCCCTAAAAACCATTTTTCCTTCGTAATTGTCCATTCCATGGGGGAGTTTCAGGCCCGAACCGTGGGGGGAGGGGCCATTTGGTGCGGTCGACCCCCCTTTTTATGCAAAGTGCCTTTTTTAATTTGACGCCAAAATTTATTTATAGACTTTTTTCGATGTCAAAATATTTAATCAAAATTTTTATAATAATTATTTCATTTTTATGAATCATTCTCATGAAACAATTTTTACTTTATTGTTTCACAAACGTAAGGCGTCATTACAAGTCATTGCATTGTGAAATCTTTTGTAAACGAAAAATGAAAAATAGTTTCTCCAGAGTTTATACTGTAATTACAATTCTCTATTTTTAAAACAAACGATAATTAACATGCCTAACCAAATTAGGAACGAGCAGCTGATAGAAAAGAGCTTCAAAATGCTGCAAAGCAATGCAAATCGTTAGCTGGATATTTTAAGTAAAAGAGTTAATTTGATCTTCTTTTTATAACAATTAGTTTATTTAGTTTGATATTAACTAGATATAGATATTAATTAGATATAGATATAGATATTATCTATACGTTAAATTTTTTTATAATACTATTTTTGTTATTACTTGTTTTTTATTGTAATGTTTATGCGAGCTCTTTTAATTTTGGTATAGTTTAAGATCTGAAAGTTTATTATTAATTACTTACGTTTCAAGTGTTTTTTATTATTGACAGTTCTCAAAATGTAACCGATAAAACATTACCCGAAGTAGAAGAAAAAGAGGAAGTCATTAAAGATGATAACAATGTTAACAAAAGCTTATCATGCAAACAAATTTAAAAGAATGTGATTTTAAAGAAGAAGAAAAACGATATGATATTGACGAACTCTTGCGCGGAAATTAAGAATTATCACCACATGAAATATACAAAATGTTTACGAATAACTTAAAACGGAAGATACAATTTCAATTTCCCAAAACATTAAAACATGGTTGCAAACGCGCTTGTAAAGAAGAATATTTACAAAATGGATTTGTCTACAGCAAAAGCGAAGACGCAGTCTACTGAATATACTGCACTTTATTTTTAAAGCAGGATAAAAAAAATCTTTGGGAGCTTTTGTTAACCGTGGATATAAGGATCGGCACAATTTTTTAGAGAAACAGAAACTACATATAGGCAATAGATACCATAAAGAAGCTATTGAACAAGCTAATGGCATTTGTTTTCGTCTTGAAGATCCAAGACAAACCATTCTCTTACAAAGCGGTAGCACATTAAAAAACCGACAACAAATGTACCCGTAAATTGTTGAAACATTAGGTAGAGTAGTACATTTGATGAGAAAACAAGGACTTGCATTTCGTGGAACTTATGAAACCTCAGACCAAAAAGGTAATCCTGAAAACTTTCTTGCAATTATGTACAAGAGCGGCTAATTAATGAAATCAAAGCTGTAAATTACCATTCAATTTCAGAAGACGAGGTAACAACTGCA